AGACTGAGGCCCGCAGGGGCCGCAAAGGCTCCCAACGGGGAACTGGAGCTCCCGCCAGAGACGGGGTGTTTTGGAGCCGGGGTCCCGAGACATCGCCTGCAAATAACGTATCTGGGCGAGAAAAACCTGGGCACGGGACCCCACTTTCCCGCAGCTCGGCGCCCAGGGCAGCCCCCAGGCGCTTACCTGCCGGGTTCGGGCTGGGTGGAGGGGCGGGCCGCAGCCGAGTTAGGGTCACGGCAGGGGCGGCAGGGCTCCGACTCACCTCGCGTAGGTGGTGGCGGTGGCGGTAGCGGTGGTGGCGGTGGTGGCGACGCCCGGAGCGCTGGAACCGAGAGGCGTATTGTCTGCAGCCAGCGGCCCGCGCGCGCGACCATATAAACCGCCCCGCCCAGCCCTGGCCCGCCCCCAGGGGCCGCCTCCCCACCCGATAGCACCGACTCCAGGACCCAGGCGGGTCCGAATGGCAACAGAACTGCTACAAGTGTGATCTGTTTTCTTGTTTACTATCTCTCTGCCTTCTGGGGTCTGCAAGTTTGTTTTGTCGCGTGCGCTGTTTTCCCAGCACAGGCGTGCACACAGTAGGCTCTGGGGAATATTTGTGGATGAATCCACTGGCTGCATTTCGATGTATAATTCCGGATCTTTACATGGATTGCCTCACTCGGTCCTCAAGAAGTCCTACGGGCTTGGTGGTTTTTTCATGCCCATTTTACCCATGAGGAAACTGAGGCTTGGAGAGGACGGAATGACATGTTAAATGACAGTATGAATTCAGTGCTCAAATATTCTCGCTCTTTGTGCTGGCAGCTTCAGGACTTAGATTTTGTTTGGGGTTTTAAAATTCTTTTTCTATTTTTTAAATGGTGGTAAAATGCACATAAAACTTACCATCTTAACTATCTGTAAGCATACTGTTCAGTGGTATTAAATATATTCCTAATGTTGTGCAACCATCACCACCATACCTCTCCATAATTCTCCATCTTTCAAAACAAACTGCATACCCACTAAACAATAAGTCCCCATTCCTACCTCGCCCACCCCTGGCAACCATCAGGAGATAAGTATGTTTAAGTCTTGTTTCAGAAATGTGAAAACTAAGACTCAAGCTTTGGCAGAAACAGCATCCACAGCATCCTACCCAAGCCTGGGGTCTTCCCTGCCCTACTCTTTCCCACCCCTCATCCTTCCAGGTGCATCATCCACATACCTCCCTTCCTGGGCCTTCCGTAATGGGGTGGGGGGCAGCCCGCCCTGCCCTGGGGCTCCTGAGCCAAGAGGGAAATGGGTGGCAGAGAAGGGCCCCCAAAGCTCCGAGGAGGGAGGAGAAACCTGGAAGTTTCCAGGGCTGCAGTGGTACCCAGTCCTGGGGTGGGTTAGGGACCGATAGGGTCTCAACTCTCCAAAATGTTATTGCTGGAGGGTGTTGGAGGTGGAGGAAGGCGGAGCAGAGCAATGGGATTACAAAGTAGCTGTTGGCCCAGGAACATAACAACAGGGCTTGTTTACCTCAGTCCTGCTGCCTCGGAAGGAGGAACGGCAGCGTCGGGTAGCTCCCCTCTCCCTGGTTCTGCCATTTGCTAGCTGTTGGGGATCCCTTTGCCCCTTCTTCCTACCTCTGGAGTGATGACACTGATATGTATTTTTCCTTCATTGTTCTCATCTGTGAAATGGGATGACAGCATGCCCCCCCACCCCACCACACACTCTATAGGGTTGTAGGAAGGATCAGAGGAGATAATCCTCAAATGTTTAGTAAACTCCCAGCAGAGTTTAAGCTTCAAGGCCCCTCCCTCCCTCTCTCCTGGCCTCTTCTGATTTTGTAATCCTTTCTTTAAGGGCCTCCCAAATTCCATCAGCTCCAAGCTCACATAG